TTAATTATGTTCGGGGATTGACTCTTGCTTGTGGGGAATGTCCTGTACGTAACTTAAAACTTAGGTTCGTGGTTTTCCTTGAACTATCATTGCTCTTGCTGAAGAGGAACCAAGCAACCGCAATTCAAAGTACCTTTGAGAGTGAGGCAACATGTGCTGGAATCAGGGTTTGTTTCTGAAGCTATTTCTCTCCACTCTTAATTTTGTTTGCTTCATATAATCCAGCAGGTGATGTTGCGTTGTTATCTGTATTACATGCACTAACTGAATTGAATGCTGTAATGCTGTGGCCAGTTGGATACTGTCTTGGGCCACTCCCATCTCTGTTCCATGGAAGGCTCATTCTGTAAACTTGCATTCAAGTTTATTTGCATTCCACTTTTTCTGACAGTTCTGTGGATGACAAACCTGCTGCTCCATATTTGGCGTTTGAAACAACGTTATGCTTGAGTTTCTAATGGTTTAACAAAACCGCATTGGTCAAGGTGGAGCGGTGTTAGGTGGAGGAAAATTGGACAGCAGGAGGGAGGAGAATTCAACCAAGGTTACCATGTCATGGCCACACAGATTTATATACATTTTAGTAAGCACACTGGGTAGCAATCAGCCATGATAGAATCATTGTCAATGCCTTCATCTCCATTATTGAGAGTCACAAGCTAATTTTAGTGCCCTACTTCTGTCTTATCTAGCCAATACTGTTTTGAAGTTTTAAAAAAAAAAAAAAAATTCTGTGCTATTTTGTTGGTTTGAATATGAATATGAAGGGGAGCTTTGATTTTTTTGGAAGAGTTTTTGTCGTTAAAACAGGAAGCATAGTCTAAATTCAGCTTACCTGAAAATTCAGATATTTTGGCATCGACTTTCCGTGTTGATCAGTAACTAGCAAATCCATTTTCATTTTTTTGTTAAAATTCCGGTTATCAGGAATAGAGTATAGTCAGTGTAGGAAGAATTATTGAGCTAAAGGAGCTGTATGGAACTATAAAAAGTCTTGTTTAGGAAGTTCATCACCCATATCATACGGTGGATTCTATTCTATGATATTTGGCAACCATTGTCAGCTAGTTCCAGTTGTCTTATTGCATAACATCAAAGTTATTGTAGATGTTTAAAATGCTTGCGATGATCTTGTTGGGAATACTGGGAATTTTTCTTGTCCCTATTTCCCCTTGAGGCATTCTTAAATCCCTGCGGCCAGTGTGGAGGAAGTATCATCACAATGGGAAGTTCTTGCGATCGTGAATGATAGTACAGCCATAAACCAGGTAAACGCTGAACAAAAGCATTGTTAGTGGGGTTGGTGTGTATGATATTTTCAGTTCATGTCTGCATTTCTGCATTTGACCTACCAGTTTTAGCCATGTGAGTGAAGAAAATTGGTATCTAAATACTTGGTACTTGTTTGTACCTTTCTATGGTAATTGAGTGCCTCTGCTCCAAGCCTTAGTACCATTGTTGAGCCCAAAAAAGACTTTCACTCCACCCTGGAGACACATTTGCCAACGTTCCTAAGGAAGATAAAATTATACTCCTTGGGGACTTCAACGCCACAGTTGAGAACGATTCCTAATCTGGAAAGGAGCTATCGGAAAGCAAGGAGTTGGGAATTCCAACTCCAGAGGGACGACTTGTGCTTATCAAATGTATGGAACACCAGCTGGTCGTCACCGTACTGTTCTGCCAAAAGACCAGATGAAGCCCTCTTAAATGTATTCACAATCACCATGATTGGTGTTTTCGTTCAATTCTGCAACCAAAAGGATGTCCTCTTTACCAAAACAATGACCAGCAGCTTATCCACTCCTCTATGACCATCAAATACCACCAGAAGCAGCTGAAAGTGAAACAGTTCAGGAAACAAGTTCAACTTGGAGTGGCTTCAAGAGCAAAGCAGTCTGCTAGTGAGTTTCCAACACAGTCCTCACCAGCATCTCCTAAAACGTTCATTTTAATGGAGTAGAGGAAATGTGGCAACCGCTGAAGACAGGCATCATCTCGTGCTACAAAGAAACCATTGGCACCAAGACTCGTTCGATGAGAATGACTGCATCATCCAAGACATCCTTGATAAGAAGTGGAAAGCTCTCTATGCTTGCTGGTGATGTCATTGTACCAAGTAAAAAGAACTCCTCAGACAGCCAAGGTGGAATTACCAAGAACAACTATGGAATTAAGAACCAATGGTGGACTGATAAGGCTAAGGAGTGCGACTCCTTGTTGACAAGCATGATACCTGGAGCTATTTCAGTGCTACCAAATCAATATATGCACCTGCTTCCTAGGTCTCGGTGGTGCAATCTCTCCCTTTTTTGAGAGAAAACACAAGCCTTCCATGTGAGAACATTTCAAAGAACTCCTAACTGTGGTACAATTTTTGAGGAAGTGATTGAAAATCACCCCATCCCCGATCAATGATGATCTTAGATTCTACCTTGGAAGAAGTTGAAGGCTCCCGTTTAAACCATGAAGAGTTGAAAAGCCGAAGAAGTGGACAGGATTCAAGCTGCGATTTTTCAAACTTGGAGCAGCAGGTATTGTCACCTCCATCATCTATTCCTGAAGATCTGGGGAAAAAATGAAATCCCTGCACTTCTGGGCGATGCTGACATCAGCCTAACACTATGGAAGTGGCTGTCAGTTTGGCTGTCCAGAGATGTCCATCAAGTCCTCTGTCTTCCACAACAGGATGTTGGTGACGGTCATCACCACTAGTGTTATGACACAATCCCTTTTGAGGTCAAGAGGGGTCAAGCAGGGATGTTATCACTTCCCATCTTGTTCACCACCATCCTTCTTGTCAAGAACAAGTGTCCATACACTGGGAAATTGTCTACAGGATGGATGGAAAACTTTCCAACCTCAATAGGTTGAAATTCAAGAAGAAAATCAACACCAATGTTATTCATGGAATATGTGTATTTGGGTGACAGTCATCTCCAATCTCTCTGAACAGAGTCTTCCAGCTTTGCTTAATCCTTTTTGGAAGTTTCCCAAAGATTAAATCTTAGCCTTAACCTCAAGAAACCTCAAGTCCTTTATCAACCCATCCTAGGGCAAGTTGTTGTTTCTCTCCATTACTAGAGAAAGCCTTCCACATGTGGAACATTTTTCTGTACTTGGGAAACTACCCTTTTTATCTAAGGCTGACAAAATGTGACGATCCAACACGGCATCAAATCTGCAAGCCCTGCCTTCATATGCCTAAGGATGAGAGTCTTCAACCGTACATCTGTGCTGATACCAAGATCGTCGTGTATAAGGCAGTTGTCCTTCCGAAACTTGGACTATGTATAGATGCACCTCAAGTCCCTGGAGAAGTAAAATCAATGCTGTTTTTAGTTGGTTTCTCCACAGATCGAATGACTCATACTAACATCAGCGTCTTTGATGGAGCCAATAGCACCAGCATCAAGGCCATGATCATCCAAAACTGACGCCTGGGCCAGCAACTTGCTTAGAATGCCTGTGTTCCAAATGCTAATGCAGATCTTCTTTGCTTAGCTCAAGGATGTCACTTGAATGAAAGACTACCAAAGCAGTTCTTTAAGTATATGTAAAGGCTTACCTCAAGAAATGCAATGTAGATGGCAACGGCTTGAAGATTCTAGCTCAGAGGAAACTGACTTGGAGGAAGTTCTTGTATGAAGGGATACAATTATTTTGAGAATGCCTGTTAGCAAGAGGAAGCATGGAAAGGGAACTTGAGAAAAGAATGCCAGTGATCTGGAAACGCCAACCAATTGTGTGGTTTGAGATGTGGCACTGGGTTTGGGCTCATTGGCTGCACAAGGACCCACGGAAGCTTGACCAGTGAGACATTACCTAGGTTTCCTTAAAGTGGTTGCTAACAGTGGCTTATTCATAGGAAGGAGATGCAAAAGCATTAGTAGAATTTCTGTGATGACTCCTGTTTTCAGGGTGAGTCTGGCTCGGATACTGTTTGGAGGAGCAGTGCAGACTTGATGAGCCGAATGGCCTCTTTCTGCACTGTACAGATTCTATGATTCTCTTCTGTTCTAATCGAAAAAACTATCTAATATGAAATTAAAAAGCTTTGTAGTTAACTGTTCCATGGTGCATTCTCTATGAAAGTTAACTTTTTTTTATTCACTCGTGAAATGTTGGTATGGCAGCCTAGTCAGCATTTGTTGCTGACCCCTAGTTGCCCTGAGAGGTAGGTGTCAAACTGCTGCCTTGAATCACTGCAGTGCATGTGCTGTAGGTAGACCCACCATGCTGTTAAGGAGGGACTTCCAGGATTTCAACCCAATGTCAGTGAAGGAACAGTGATACCATTCCAAGTCAGAATAGAGAGTGGCTTGGAAGGGAACTTGCAGGTCGTGGCAGTTTTGACAATCAACAAACACCTCATTTTTCAGGTTATTCCCTTATGAGATTTGAGATTCTTGGAATTCTGTCCTGATGGTTGTAAGATGAAAGATCTCAATAGCATATCTCTTTAGCGAAACTCAACTCAAGTTCTGTTTTGCCAAGCGACTTGATCATAGACTCACTACAGTGTGGAAGCAGACCAATTTGGTCCATCGAGTCCATACTGACCCTCGAAGAGCATCCCACCCAGACACCATCCCCCTCCCCCAATCCTGCATTTCCCATGGCCAGTACCCCTAACCTGCACATCTTTGGACTGTGGGAGGAAACTGGAGCACCTGGAAGAAACCCATGCAGGCATAGAATATGCAAACTCCACACGATGTCGCCTGAGTCTGCAATCAAACCCGGGTCCCTGGTGTTGAGGCAGATGTTTTCATTAAGTTACCAATGACAAAAGACAGATGTTTAAACTTGATTTTTACTTTTGACTTAATTCATTCCTGTTAGTGTCCAAACATCTGAGGGCTCAAATCACAAAAGGCATGTTGAAAAAGACAGTTGAGGTAGCGTTACTGTAGAAATTTTAAAAAGTAATCATGTAACAATGGACGTAGTGCTTGTAATACATGCTTGTGAAGTATATTTTGTGCACTTAACCCCAGGAGCCAGTGGAAGTGGAGAGATGGTTTGCACAATATGCCAAGAGGAATACTCTGAAGTACCCAATGAAATGGTTATTTGTGACAAATGTGGACAAGGTAAATTTAAGTTTGAAAATAATCTTTTGGTATATTTAGTAAATTTTTAAGCAATGAAGTATTACTGCTATTTTTATCAATAGGTTATCATCAGAAATGTCACATGCCTAACATAGATTCCAGTGTGATTGCGTCAGATGCCAAGTGGCTGTGTCGCCAGTGTGTCTTTGCTACTACTACAAAGGTACTGTGATACTGGGAATTGTATTTCTTTTCTGATGTTCCATAAAATGGAACCAGTGAAGTAAACTACCATAAATTCCAAAGTACTAAGAACTGATGTAGAGAAAATAGTATGTGCTCATGTGTATTATTAATAATTGGATTTTGAAGAGATAAAAAGTGTTGAAGTATTATTTACAATAAGACGTAATAAATAGCACCAGAAGTAGCCCATTCAGCCCCTGGAGCCTGTGCTATTATTTACCAAGATTGTGGTTAATTTATGTTCTGAATTCTACATTCTTACCTATCCCTGTTAACCTTTTTTGATTCCCCTGCCTCGTAAGAATCGACCTATCTCCAAGTGAAAATATTTCACAAGCAGAGTGTTCCAGAATTGCGCAATGCTTTTGAGAGAAGAATTCTTAACACAGTGCCTAAGAGGCAACTCCTAACTTTAAGTGTCCCCTAGTTCTGGACTCACTCACAAGAAGAAACATGCTTTCTACGTCTGCATGCTCAAGAGCTTTCACAATCTTTTAAACTTCAATCACTTTGCTCTTCCCTTTTACAAACTCCAGTGGAATCCAGCCTAGTCTGTCCATTTTTATCTTCATAAGATGCACACCACTCATTCTAGACATTAATCTAGTTAACCTTTTGAACCACTCCCAACGCATTCACATCTTTCTTTAGATAAGGAGAGACCAAAACTTTGTGCAGTATTTGAGATGTCTCACCAGCTGTATAAGTAAAGCATAATTGAACAGAAAGGCAAGGATGTTATTTATAATAAAGGTTAGCATCCCATTAGCTGCTTTTAGATGCTGTAGCTGTGTGCAATTATTTTGAGTCATGTACTGAAACATAGATCTTTTTTAGTCAGGTAGTTGTATAATACATTTTGTAGCCACAGAATTAATATTTTTCTTTACATTGTAGAGGGGTGGTGCTCTTAAGAAGGGACCAAATGCTAAAGCTCTGCAAGTCATGAAGCAGACATTGCCATACCAGTTGGAAGACCTTCAGTGGGATGTAGGCCACAAAACAAATCATGAGCAGTGTTACTGTTACTGTGGAGGCCCTGGAGAGTAAGTAAAATATTTTGTGTTGTTTGGATATTGCTAAATTAAAAGCTTTGTAGTAATAGGGAAACATTGTAAAAGCATCTTTTGGCACTTGCCTGCTTTTGAAAGGTTATCCTTCATGTGAGTGGAAAGGAGAGAGATTACCAATTTAAAATGTTTGCCACGTGATGCTGTACATTAGTACAATACATTTTTATACTGCAACAGTGACTACACTTCAAAAGTAATTAATTTGCTATGAGAGTGCTTTAAGCTGCCTGGTGGTTGTAGGAAGGGCTACGTGAACTCCAGTTTTCTTCCTTTATCTACAGTACTGTAAAGAGTAGAATATGGTATTGTTTAAAGATAGTAATTGAAAATGTTGTGGGCAACAGACTTAATTTTTTTTTTGCCAACTTTCTTCCCGGTTTTTCTTTCGGAGAAACATTTTGGTTTCTTGCTTGTTACTGCTATGAAGACCATTGAGTGTTTTGCCACAATGAAATGCTTTTGACGTAAGACCACTATTAATGTAGGGAAATACAGCAATCAATTTATGGACAGCAAGGTCTCAAACTAATTACACTCTTATCTTTTGCAATAATGGTTGAGGGATATAGGATGCCAAAAAAATGCCCGCAGTAGTCTTCAAATGCTGCCTGGTGTTTACATCTTTCATTTTGAGATGACAAGCTAAACGTTTTTTAGTATAAAGACATCACCGTTGGAAAGGCACCAATCTCAACAGCGCAGAATTGAACTGTCACCCTTGTCACGTGCTAGAGTTCAGTTTGAGCTGAATGAAGGCTGAAAATCCATTTTCTTTAAGTATTAGATTGTGGCTGTTCGTGGCACCAAGTGGGAAGAGCCGCCTCCATCATCTGTACTTCCAGAGTTCATTAGTAAGCAAGGCTAGCTGGCTCATCAATGTCCAGGACCACCACAAACCTGCCTCTTTCAAGTATTACATTATCAACAATGTACGCGATGATCTCCAAACTTCATAGAGCTTCTTGAATTAGCATGTAGTTCATTCATGGGAATTCCCCAGGGATTTGCTGGATGTGTGCATTGAAGAAAAGTGAAAGGAATGGAAGTTGTAAAGGATAATAGGCTCAAACTCAGTGAACAAATCATTACTTCTAAACGCAGTATATTTGCATTTTTAGTGAAGCTGAATACCTGTTTAGTCTTACGAGGTAGGATACACTCTTCAGGTTTGTAGATCTGTTTGCTTGTCCTTTTTTGCAGTGTCAATGTGGTAATAGCATGCCTTCCTATATTGAATGAATGCAGTAAATTACATTTTTGCCAGGTCCTTTTGAAGCTGTCAGAACACTCCTTCACAATTACTTCAAGTGGAGTTGTGCATGGCAAGATCCCACAGAGATCCTGGGGAGGTGATGACCTAGTGGTTTTGTGCTGGACTGTTAACCTAGAGATCCAGGTAATGTCCTGGGGACCTGGGTTCAAATCCCACCGTGGCAGATGGTGGAATTTTAATCCAATGTGAAAAAAGAAATCTGGAATGAAGAGTCTAATGATGACCACAAATCCATTGTCAATTGTTGGGGGAAAAACCCATCTGGTTCACTAATGTCCTTTTTAGGGAAGGAAACTGCCATCCTTACCTTGGTCTGGCTGAGATGTGACTCCAGACCCAGAGCAATGTAGTTGACTTTAAACTGCCCTCTGGCAGCTAGGTTTTGAGCAATAAACGTTGGCCTGGCTGGTGACGCCCTCATCTCGTGAATGAATAAAAAAAAAGCAATTGGGTCAGTTGGTGATTTTTATTTGTTCAACATATTGAGCCAAGATACCTGGGAATTATTACTTTTAAATATTGCAGTATATTTCTCATGTTCTTGATATAAGTGCAACATCACTGATACAATTTAGGTTGACACACTAGTATGCTGAAATCCTGGAGTACGGTTTAAATGGATGACCTAACTCTAGCTGTGATTCATAATGTCTCAAAGTAGTGTTGTGACTTTTATGAAGCAAAATAATAAAACGCGTCATTACAATAGCCTAGTGGATGAAAGCATTACTATAATATTGGGCTACTAAATAAATTCTTTGGTAGGCTCTCTCTTTGGTTTGTGTTAACTTAGTTCAGTTCAACAAGGTTATGTCATAGAAGGTGGTGGCATTCAGAGGAAAATGATGTCCATAATTTAGTCAGGATTATGCGTTGACATGAGGTGACAGTAAGGTCGCCATTGTCCCAGAGGACCATGGAGCTGCTTCCTCATTAGTGACAGAGAGACAACTCATGGTGTTTTAACCCGAGGGGCATTGCGCTTCAAGTGATGGGCAAGGTTGAGAAGATGAGACCTTCGTGGTGACCTCAGCCAGTATGAGAATTGAAACCATGCTCTTGGCATCACCACACATCACAAATCTGCTGTCCAGCCAAATGAACTACCTGTCCCAAATATGATATAAATACTCTCTCTTTATAGTCAGCAATTTGACCATTTAATCTTGCTGCTTACTTGAGATAATGACTACTTTGGATTTACCACTGCTGGTATTTGTGGAATTCATTCACTATGCTAAATGATTGAGGGTGGAAAACCAAGAAAAATGGTTGGTGGGGTACAGTGTATGAAGAAAACAACAAAGTAATATGTAGTTGAAATAAGTGCTAGCAAATCTCAGGTCTGGCAGGATCTGTGGAGAGAGAAAGAGCTAATGTTTCAAATCCAATGACTCTTTGTAACTCTTTAGTGTGGGGTTAATCTCTTTTATTCTATAAACTCAGATAATTTGCCTTACTAAAAATATCAACTTGCAGGCACCAAAGAGAGTGCGACCCAGTATTATTTGTCATGTTCTGGTATTAGTTCTCCTTCATAAATTGAATTCAGTTACGTTCCAATAGCCTGGAATATTTAAGGTTTATTAGTAGGCTACAGAGTATTTTGTCTTGGAGAGAGAACATTATCATAACCATATACAAATAGGAATTTAGTAGCTACATATTTTCACTGAAGCTACTAACCCAGCAAGAAACTGTTTTTCTCATGGCCATTTTATATAACCAATCCTAAATGTTTTGAAAGCTTACCTTTTCTCAATTGCAGTTGTACTGTGGCAGTAGTGGACTGTTTAATATGAATATATAACATAAGTTTTCATAAAAGAGAAGTCAACTTTTAATTGTCATAACACTAATTCTGGAAGATGTTTAACTACATTAAGCTGTATATTTTTGCTTTATTTTCGTTAGCTGGTACCTGAAAATGCTGCAGTGCTGGAGGTGTAAACAGTGGTTCCATGAAGCCTGTATACAATGCTTACAGAAGCCTATGCTTTATGGAGACAGGTGACGTTCAATATTTGTGTTTAAAGCAGATTTTTTTTTAAAAATTTGAATGTATTTCCTTAATATTAGCTTCAGATCTCTGTCTGACTGCATGCTCACTAGCATGTAAATATTAACTCACTGCTGACAAGTTAATCGTGCAAGTGATCTTTTGATACAGTTTTTGGGTTTCATTTTAAAAGCAGGTGATCCAGCTGACTGCTTTTAGATATGAATGTGTGCAGCATGGTGCATAGCTGCTTTGAGAAGTTCTTGCATTGCTTGCCACGTGATTTTGCTTTCTTGACATCAGAGCAAAACGAAAGCTTCACATCAGCATAAGCTGCATAGTATAGCTGGCTTGCGTTACTATTTTTGTATTTAATTTCAGTGTTCTTATTTGAATTGTAAGTCATCTTGCCCTATTTGGATGACAGAATTGCATGCTTAGATCAAAATGTGTGCAATTCATAGCAGCAGGCTGGGGAGAAGATTTACAAGGATGACGCCTGAAATGTATGTGTGCCTAAGATTGACAGGTTCGTTCTGTGTTCCCTCATAGACAGAAGGCTGAGGAGCTCGTGGAAAGCTAACCTTTCCTCATAGAGATCTTTAAAATTATGGAAGGCTTTGGCTGAGGTGTAGATAGACTATTTCTTGTGGGGAAGAATGTATAGTTTTAGACAATCAGTGTAAGTCAACAAGAAATTCAGAAGGGAATTTTAAAAGAAACTTCCTTGCCCAAAGAGTTAGTGTTGAACGTATAATTTATAACTTGAAAAGCATTTCATTTCTGTTAAAGTATATATTAGTGTTGAGGTTAGCTATAGATGTGCTTTCAGTTGTCAACTGTGGAATCCATCATCTGAGCCAACTGGAAAGACCATTAAGCTTCGACCAAATAACTCCAAGTCGATGGATTTATAAGGGAGAGTTTGCTTGAAGAGTCTCTCATAACTGCTAGTTGACCTTTTTGGAAGTCTGAAAGCAAGTTTGTAACTTACCTTGGTTACAAAATGTATGTGGGGAAGATGAATAAACAAGAAGTAAATCTGATTACAGAGGAGAAACTAATCTTTTTTTTAAAGTTGCAAATGTGTGCTGATTTAATGCTTTTCACAAATGGAATATCCGAGGCAGCTTCAGTCAGTTAAATACTTTTGCTGTTTAGTCACTGTTGCATACCAGGAATTATAGTAGCTGATTCTATGCTGCAAAGTCTCAAACTTACACTCAAAAGTTTGTTTGTGAGGTTGAAATGTCCTAGACAGAAGTTTCCTGTTATTAGGAAGAGTTTTATGGGATTTTTTAATCCATCTGACAGCAGGCAAATGGCACCTGAGTTTAACATTTCATCCAAAAGTCTGCATTTCAAAAGGCAACATTTCCTGAGTAATGCACTGAAGTATCAACTTAATTCTGTGCTCAAGTCTTCAAATGAGGCAGAACCCACTGACTCAGTAAGAGGCAGTGTTTCTGCTAAGCATATATAGGGCTCTGCTCAATGTATCAAGAGTACTCCATGCTATGCAAAGGACATGGGAGCTCCGGGGGAAGAGAAAAAAGAAAGGGTTGCAAGGCTGAACTAGAATAGAGAGCTTTTAGCTGTTGGAAAAGGTTAAACAGGTTGTGGCTTCCTGTTACTTAGAAATGACCAGATAGAGGTCTTTAAAATTATGATCGGATGGACAGAATGAATGTCTTTGCTCAGAACAGTTAGAATGTGGAGCTTGTTACCACAGGATGGGATTGAGGTAGATAGTCTCTAAAGAAAGCTATCTAAATTGACTACATGAGAGAAAGGGGAATGGGATGAAATGCTGAAAAGCTGAAATGAGGAAGATGGAATGGGATCGAAGACTTTCATGCAGTATAGACAAAACAGCTTAGTTGTGCTGAATGTCTTGCTCCTGTTCTTACGTTCCACATAACCTGGAAATATTGTCATATCTATATTGATAAAAAAGATTTTCTTTTTGGTCTGTTAGGTTTTATTTATTTATTTGTTCCGTTTGCAATGCTGGACCGGAATACCTCAAACGTCTACCTTTACGTTGGTAAGTTATATAATTGTTTTCCTTTAGTGTTTTGAAATCTACAGTATTATTTTGCTCAAGTTTATCGAGTTAACATTTGTAAATACTGGTTGTTCTGATGGCATTATCATAGTTCCTTTTCATGATCGGGGATTAGTTACAAATAAACACCAAAGATCATGCATTTACACTGAAGTGGAAATTTGTAATTTCGGACATGTTTGAGGACAATGCACAGATCTAATTATAGTTAAAAATGTTGAGTAATATTCAAATCTAGTTAATTGATCATTTCTCATTGGAAAGTAGAAACTTTAAAAGTACCCTAAATAAATAGAATCAGTAACTATAAAACTTTTGCAATTTTAATTCTGCCATCATCTGTCTTAATTTAACAAACTGTATATTTGGACAGATTTGTCAGACTCGCACTGATATGTCCCCCAGAATCACTCCTGGTTTTGTGTTAATCTGTGGTTTGGAGTGTGTGCTGTAATTGGCAAACAAATGAGCACTCGAAGAAATGTGGCGAAACCTATGCTCAAAAATGGATGTTAAAATATTTTTGAACACTTTTTTTTTCTTCCCCAGGGTTGACATAGCACACTTAAGCCTTTACAATTTAAGTGTTATTCATAAAAAGAAGTACTTTGATTCTGAGCTTGAATTGATGAATTACATTAATGAAAATTGGGACAAACTGCAACCTGGTGAGGTAAGGTCTAGTTATGATTTAAAACTGAATATGACTGATTTCTGTTTAGCAGAATCAATTTCCAGACTGTTGTTAGTTGTACCTTTTTATGTTTATGTGCAGCAATGTTAAACTAGATAATTTGGCCTCCAATTATTTCCTGCAGCATTTCAGTGCTAATTTTGGTTTCTTTAAAATATGCATTTAACACTAAATTTTATGATGGGTTAATATTGTTGTTGAAGTTCAAATTGAAAACTGGCTGGCATATGTTGAAATTTGTCAATATAAATATTTTGGCAGGTATTTCTTCTGTTGGACGGTTAACTTTAATGTGTTATATATGAATTATAGTACACTTCTTTTGGAGCATTCTAAGTTAGAAATAATTAAAAGCTCATATATTCTCAGTCTGTGTTTGGAGATAAGTGAAATAAATACTTCTGGACTTCAAAGGAATACTGTATGGATTTTTATGCAATAAGTCTGTTGGAAATTTATCAAAATATTCTTATTGAATTTGCTAACATTTTGTGAATCAATTTTATGGAGCCCAAAGAACAAAAGGATGTTGAATTTCTGTCATCTTATTCATTTGCAGCTTGTAGATACTCTAAAATCGGATCGATACGATTATGTTCTAGAAGCCCTAAATGAGAACAAATGCATGTAAGTGAGGGTTTAGATATTTTTGAATCAACCTGTTCAGTGATGTTATTACACATTTCTAGAAGTAAATGCGGCTTGAACCTGGGACTCCTGGCTAAGAAGTAGGGACACTCACCATTGTGCCACATGAGCCCTGCAAAGTGTGAGTTAAGCCCAAATAAATACAATAGACTCAACTGTTCGGGTGTAAGAAAATTTCATAGGTGAAATAGATTTCTACTGTTCACCACCTTTTGTGCATGTAGCAAAAGTAGGTGGTGAATAGAAATTTGTTCTCAATGAAAGCATTTTATTGCAGCTTGCCAATCAACCCACCCTTGCTGACCTACATTTGCACCCTGCTCTTTGTGCATTACATGCAAAGTTTTGTCTGCAAATCCTGGTGAATTTTAATGCTTTATGGATATTGCTGCAGAGACTGCAATGATAATTAAATGTAACAAAAACAGAAATTGCTTGAAAGGCTCAGCAGGTCTGGCAGCCTCTGGAGGGAAATCAGAGTTAAGGTTTCAGGTTCACTCTGATTTCTCTCCATAGAGGCTGTCAGACTTGCTGCGCCTTTCCAGCAGTTTCTATTTTTGTTTGATTTCCAGTATTCACAGTTCTTTCAGTTAATATTTAATGTAATTTGACAGTAATTGCTGCATAAGAGGCCATTTGGCTATCTGTTCTTGTAAGAGCAATTCAACTAGTCACATTCCTCTTCGTTCCCTAGAAGCAAACAAAAATGATAAAAGTCATGGCTAAAGAACTGCAATAGATATTGAACTGTAGTAAATGGTTTCAGGTGAAGATCTAGCATCAGGTTGCTTTTTGTACTGCAATTTATATGATGCTGGCAAATAAATTTTTCAGAAAGGAGTTTCCAAAATTATTATAAACAAATCAGTGATGGGATAGAATTAATAAGCTGAACTTGTTCCACTTTTTTGTTTACAAAAACAGAAGTTGCTGGCAAAGCTCAGCAGGTCTGGCGGCATCTGTGAAGAAAACATCAGAGTTAACGTTTCAGGTCCGGTGACCCTTGCTCAGAACAAAACAAAAATGTGGGTCTGAGATTGTCAATGAGCCTGATAATATTTTGTGAATTTTTTTTTGAAAAGTTAGTTTTTGGCTCATTAAAAATGCAAACGGATTGGCTTTTTTTGTACTGTTTATCTTCCTTCTGCATGGATTTCAGAAAGGTTTTTGTTGTTCCATGAGGTAGTCTGATCAGAAAATTAAAAGGTCATGGGGTCCAAGGGAACGTGGCAAGTAACATTCCAAATTGACTCAATGGCCATCAGCAAAGGATTTTTTTTTCTGGTTAGCTGGCTTTTTTGAGTGGACCTTCAGTGTTCAATTTTGCACTGCTTACTGTTCATGTATCAATGATTTAATCTTAAATGTAGGAGATGTAATTAAATTTGTAGATAACCCCACAGAATTTTAGTTTTTCCGGTGAGGAAGAAAGCAGTAGAGAAAATATCAATGTCCCGGTCAGATGGGCTGAAAAGTGGAATTCAGCCTAGTAGTGTGAAGTAATACATTTGCAGAGGCCAAAGAAGACAAGGGAATACACAGTACATAGTAGGATACTGAGATGTGCAGATGAACAGTGAGACCTTGCACTGTATGTCCACAAATCCTTAACATAGTAAGAAGGTAGCTAGCTAGAATGGTTAAGAAGACATAATTGGATACTTACATTCTATGCCTTGGCAAAAAAAGGAAAGAGCATGGAGAAAAACAAGTTCAGTTTCAGTACGAGTATTATGTATCATTCTGGTTGCCACGTTACTGGAGTGAAACGACTGCCTGAGAGAGGTGTGACGATGCTGTGGCTTTAAGAGGTTAATTTTCTTGGTTTTTTATTTGTGGAGAGATTTTAAGGCACAGGTGGCGAGCAGTCTAAGAAGATGAGCAATTTGGGAAGCCTTGGGGTTTTTTCAAAAGTTAGAACAATAACAGCAGACTGAATGGGCATGGTCAAGCTCCCACCCACAGAACCGGGATTTTGTTTTTTAGTAGTAGTTGCTGTTAGAGTCTTGAAGTAAAAGCTATTCTCTCACTCAGTTACAGCCAAAACTGGGAGTTCTGCGTTCTGAATTTGCCTTTTGCCAAGGGTGTGTTAATGGGATGTAACTATATCGGAACAGTTAATTAGCAATGGTTACTGTACCTATTATTCTGTTAAGCTTTCCAATAGAGCTTCTAACTCTTCCTTTTAATTGTATTTTAACTTTAGTGGATGAATAAAATGTGTTTTGCTTTAAATCCAGTAGTTTGACCAATCAAATTGCACCTGGAATACAACACCTTACATTTACATTGAAAATAAGAAAAAGTTAGGGTCTAGACCCTGTTGTTTGAATTTTGAGGGTTTGGTGTGGTCCATAAGAAGGTAGAGAGGAGATTTGTAAGGATGTTGCTAAGAGTTAAGGATTTTTTGCCTTAGGCAATCTTGATTTGACTGTTTCTGTTTTCGTTGGCATGTAGGAACTTGAAAGGAGATTTACTTGACCTGCGCAAAATTAGGAGGTTCAGGTCTTGAATAGGAAGGACCTGTTTTCCTTGGAGACATCACTGACCGGGGACACACATTTAAAGTAATTGGAAGAAAAATTAGAGGAGAATTGAGAAACCTCCTCACCCAGAGAGCGGTGGGTGTCTGGAACTCAGTGCCTAAAAGGGTGACAGAGGCAGAAATATTCACTATATTTAAAGACTATTTAGATATACTGAACTGTTGTAACCTTACAGGACTATAGTAAGAACTAGGCTGGATAGCTCCTCTTTGCCTGGCACAGACATGATTGGCTGAACAACTACCTGTGACACAGATGCTCTGTATTTTGGAGGTATGCAGTATGGCATACAGCAAGATGAATATTTTTCCTCTGTGCAATATAAAAATCTTTGTTAAAGAGCTAACAAGGTGTAGAGCTGGATGAACACAGCAGGCCAAACTGCATTAGAGGAGCAGGAAATCTGACGTTTCGGGTCTAGACCCTTCTTCAGAAATTCAGCTCATCCAGTTCATCCAGCTCTACACCTTGTTTTCTCAGATTCTCCAGCATCGGTAGTTCCCACTATCTGTGAACCCCGTAAAAATCTGTGTTTTGTCTTGTATCCGATCTAATATTTAACTAATATTTTACTCCAGGTTTATGTCTGGCAAAGAAATAAAGAAGAAGAAACATTTATTTGGATTGCGAATTCGTGTACCTCCGATTCCTCCCAATGGTGCAATGAAGACTGAAGAAAGCACTGTGGATGTTTCTCATGAATTTAAAATTAAGGGAAGAAAATCTAGTAAATCTACACCTGTATCTACACCCGTTGCTGCAAAAAGGTAAAGCAGTTCACCATAGCTACTGTCTTATGTTTCTGTGAAGAGAGATTGGAGACAAACGGAGCTGCCAGAGGCAACGAAAACACGTTCTGGACCTCTGGACCAGCTGTCAGGCCATTCTGAGATTCATGAGCAATATCTGTAATGCAATAAGACTAACTGTTTGTTTCAAAGAGTCTTTAGTGTCTCTTCCAACTAAGGTAGATAGTCCATTCTGAACATATTGTACTATTGTCCTTTGCTATTTCAAAAAAAAGACATTTTTTAATATCATGATGCCCTTGCTCCCCCCCTGTACAATTAGAGTTTGATCTTAATACCCTTGCTGCTTCCTGTCCCAATTTATATATTTTTAAAATTATCACATTGTTTATGGCTTCGTAGAGGTTTCACATGCCTAAACTTATGGCTCCGATCACAGTGCGGTAAATCTTTGAAAGAGCTGTCCATTTTTAAGATGCCCAAGTTGGTTTTGTAATGCTCAATATTAGTGGTTAATAATTGTCGTAAAGCCAATAATGGCAATAGTTTGAGTGAGTGTGTATTCAGGATTAAAGCAAAAAGCCTTGAAATACAAGGAGATTGAGAAAAGAAAAATGGAAAAAAGGAAAGTCCTGTGCAGAAGAAACAGCTTACATAAAATAAGACATATCGACAAAAATAACACATTCCAAGCTATTGTAGTTGGTTGGCCTGCCGAGCTGGTTTGTTGTTTTGCAGATGTTTCGTTACCATGCTGGGTAACATCATCAGTGCAGCCTCCAATGAAGCGCCATTGTTTTTCTGTCTGTTATTTAAACTCTGGAGTCTGTTGAGCTGGAATACCTCACTTCCAGTTTTCCTTCGCAGTGGAGTGTATATGGGGTCGAGCTCTAGGTATTTGTTGATGGCTTTCTTCGTGGAGTACCACGCTTCTAGGAATTCCCGTGCCTGTCTCTGCTTTGCTTGTCCCAGTCAAATTGGTGGTTCTCCTTATCCACGTGGATAGAGATGAGTGAGTATTGGTCATGTCTTTTTACACGGACATCATTTGGCTGCAAAAAGACACGACCAATGCACTCTCTTCTCTATCCACATGGATAAGGAGAACCACTAATTTGACTGGGACAAGCAAAGCAGAGACAAGCACGGGAATCCCTAGAAGCGTGGTACTCCACGAAGAAAGCCAGCAACAAACACCTAGAGTTCGACCCCATATACTCTCCATTACGAAGGAAAACCAGAAGTGAGGTCATTCAGCTCAATGGACTCCAGAGTTTAAATAACAGGTGGGAAGACACAACGGTGCTTCATTGGAGGCCGCACTGATGATGTTACCCAGCATGGTAACGAAACGTCTGCGAAATAACGAACCAGCTTGGTGAGACAACCAACTACAACATCCACAACCTGAGCTACAAATCTACTCTAAAACCTTACACATTCTAATCTATTTGAACTCTGCATTTATGTATAATCATAAATTTTCAGTTAAGTAGATTAATAATACCAGATCACCATCTCAGTACGCCATGGCTCAAAATATACTGTGGCGGGTGAATTCTCCTCTCCCAATCCCTTAAAAATAAAACTGAAGTTCCCTCACTCTAAAAATGATATAGAAAATTTAGTTATGGGCCAACAAATCAGAAAGGCTGCCCCCTGTAAGTAGAAAAAGAGTGAGGGGCTGAAAGGGGACTGAGCAGTTTTAAACCTTTCAACATGGAAATTTTTTTCCAACTGGATCCAGGAAATCTTCAAGCTGCTGAGGCATTTAATTCCTTGCAAATGAATTTGGAGTTCTTAGTTTAAGTCTGCATAATTTGACCCCTGGAGTAAGTATATTCTCTCCTTTTGACTATGCTATACTTCTGGATTAAAATGTACCTTGGCAGTGTTTTGGGAAGAGGTTCACTTAATTGCAAGTGAAATATTGGAACAGGACTGTCGAATATTTTGAAAAGAAGTTTTATTTTGGAAATAGTTATTTATCTCATTCTGAAAAAAGCATTTTGTGCTCCAGATGTCCTCTAAACCTGTAACAGTCTTGCATGGTTTCTGCATTCTAATAATTCATTTTTTTTTTTAAACCAATAGTCCTTTAAATAATGACATAGAAAAAAAAGTCAAGAAAAAGTCATCTGTTGAACCTTCTGAACAATATACAAAATTGAAGGTCAAAAGAATCACTGATTCAACGACTGTAGTAAGTGTACTTATTCTCTTCAATGTTTCTGCATTACAGCTTAGTTATTGAAATCAAGGAGGTATGGAGTCTAATTACATAAACAGCAATCATCTTAGTCATCATTTTATCACATGATCTTTCTTCAGTAAAAGTTTATAAGTCACGAATTAGGGTTATTGTACTCGGGGTGCTATGTCCACTTGGTGTGTCTTCTGTATCTAAGTATTTTTAGCAGGTTTCAGTGGATACTAATCAGTGGTACATTTTCAATTTTTAATCTGAGAGCCATGATGTGGAGGTACTGGTGTTGGACTGGGGTGGACAGATCTAAAAATCACTTGACACCAGGTTATAGTCCGACAGGTTTATTTAAAAACGCAAGCTTTCGAAGCTCAGCTCCTTCCTCAGGCAGAAGGAGCTGAGCTTCGAAAGCTTGCATTTTCAGATAAATCTGTCGGACTATAACCTGGTGCCGAGTGATGTTTGACCTAATGAGATCAGTTAGGTTACGTGAAAAGATGAAATTTGGGGTACAGTCCATGTTGTTCAGTGCCACTAATTGTTTTAGCATTGTGTAATTTATTTCAAATCAGTTGGTTCAGCAAGACAGTTTCCTTAAATTGATTGGCCATCTAATGTTAGAAGCAGAAATAATGTATTATTTATGTAGATAAATAGCTTGGTTAAGGTACAGTAATGCATAGCCAATTTATTGTGGTGTTCAGTTTGTGTATTTGCATTAGTTAATGCAGCAAAATTGAGAGTTTGACGTGGAAGATTTGAATTGGTAAGCACCTTTTTTATTAGACAATATTTTCAGGGCTGTGGGTAAAGGACAGGGGAAGTGGGACTTAGTAAGTTGCTTTTGCCAGCTCTCTGCATGGCACAATGACCGTCTTTTGTCCTGTCATGATTATATGATTCTGTTTAAGATTTCCTAATTTGATTCTTGATGGAAATGTTAGCAGAATATTTGTAATTAATTTACGTTAAAATATTGATTGTAATAAATGGTCGTGTGACATTATTACATTAGTGTAATGTACGTACCTGTACCCAGAAGTAATTATAATATGCAATTTTGTTCATTTCACATGTTTTGTTTAAATGTGTGTGCAGAATGAAATGGTTTTAAATGTTAAACTCATCCGTACCATGGGGAACAAAGTGAAGATTTAAAAGTAGTTTGGGAGGTTAACCTAGATTTCTCTTCTGAGAATAGTTGATTGCTCAATTCATAACTTTGAATATTTTCAAAGTGTTGGCCTCACTAAAGTGTATTGAATTTGATACGCTTTAAATATTTGGTGATTGTAAAATGTAACGTACTGTGCATGGAGTGGTGAGATGTATGTTTGTGCTTTACGTTTGCACAGTGAGCTCCTTTGTTTTGGCTCTGCATTTTAGTCAGAAAGCAAAATTGAGTTTCGTTTTTAGTTTAGTTTGAAAATGAAGATATCATTTTGAGGTTGGTTCCAAGACATTATTTATTATTATCAAGCAATATTTTAATTGTTTCCAGGAAAATGAGAAAAGCAACCAAAGCCACTGTGATATTCAGGACCAATCTACAATGCTGGATACTCTTGCCTTGGATCTTCCTGGTCCCAAAAGGTCATTCATTCATGTTGTATTTGTATACCATTCTTGATCATTTTGACTTGCTTTTGTTAAAAAGTTACACATCATGGAAACAGACCCTTTGGTCTAACCAATCCACACCAACCATAATCCCAAATTAAACTGGTCCTTCCTGCCTGTGCTTGGTCCATTTCCCTCCAAACCTTTATATTCATGTAGTTATCCAAATGTCTTTTAAATATTGTAACAGTACTTGTATCCAGCACTTCCTCAGGTGGTTCATTTTACCCCTGAACCACACACTCAATAAAAGAAAGCTGCCCCCACGTCTTTTTAAAATCTCTCTCTCTCCTCGCCTTAAAAATATGCCCTGTATTCTTGAAATCCCCCATCCTAGGGCAAAGACACCTGCTATTCACCTTAGCTATACTCATGATTTTATAAATCTCAATAAGGTCAGCCCTCAACCTCCTACACTCTCTAGTGAAAAAGTCTCAGCCTATCCAGCCTCAAAACCCTCCACTCCCAGCAACATCCTGGTAAATCTCTTCTGACCCCTCTCCAGTTTAGTAATGTCCATCCGATAACAGTAACCACAACAGGACACAGTAATCGAGAAGAGTTCTCATCAACACCCTGTACAACCTCAACATAATGTCCCAATTCCTATACTCAAAGGACTGAGCAAGGAAGGCAAGCTTGCTATAAATGCCTTCTTACCCACCTGATCTGTATGTGATGCAAACTTCAAAGAATTATGTACCTGAACCCTTGGTTTCTCTGTTCTACAACACTTCCTAAGGCCCTACTTTTAATTGTATGGGTCCTGCCCTTGTTTGTTTTACCAAAATGCAATACCTTGCATTTATCCAAATTAAATTCCATCTGTAACTCTTCTGACCATTGATCCAATTGATAAAGATCTCTTTTGTAATCTTAGACAACCCTCTTCATTGTCCACTATTACACCAATCTTGGTGTCATATGCAAACTTACTAATCATATTCATTCAAAAGATCTGACTGTTGCTGAATTTCAATGTTTTAAAAATAGTTTGTTTCCAGTTTGATTGAAAAACCAACGCAATACCAGCTCATATAGTCCCTCAAACCATCTTCTGTATTCACTAAGATCATGGCAGATTTTCCGCACGAATTGTGTTTCCCTGTTCTTTCTCCCTTTTCCTCTATTCCGTTATTGTCAAAAAAATCTATTGATCTCAATCTTGAATATACTTGGTGACTGAACATCGGCAGTATTCTTGGATCATAATCCCAAAAGATTCACAATTCTTTAAGTGAAGGAATTTCTGTGAATTTCAGTCCTAAACTGTTGACCCATTGTCATAAACTAGGGACACTCACACCCACACTCTCACCTTGGCCCCATACACAAAACAATCTCTCTATCTATCCTATCAAAATGAGATTACCACCATCTTCTAGAGAGTTTTGTTCCACCCTACTCATAGGACATCCCTCTTAACTTTGGGAATCAATCTAGTGAATATTTATTAATTCTTATTGAAGGCAAGTATGTCTTCCCTTGAATACAGAGACTAAAACTATATATGAAGTTTGAAATGGGGGTCTTACCAAAGCTCCGTATGATTGCGGAAGATTTCCTCATTTTAGTACTGCATTGGCTTGCAGTTGAGGCTGACAAACTATTGCATTCCTAATTGCTCGCTGTACCTGCATGTTAAATTTTTGTGGTACATGTACAATGACATAAAAATCCCACCGGATCCCAGCGTTCACTGTTCTCTCAAATAAAATTTCTGCTTTTCTACCCATCTAAAATATAATGTGGGAAAATAAGAAAGTGACAAACAGATAATTTCACAGTCACTAAGCATTGCAGATCCTTGTTTCACAGCCTACTTCCCACTAGCTTTGCATTGTTTTCACTAGAGGACGGAGGCTGAGGGACAACCTGTTAAAAGTACATAAAATTATCAGAGGCAATGGATAAGGTGGATAGTCGGAGTATTTTTGCAGGATAAAAGTGTTAAATACTAAGGGCCATAGGTTTAAGATGAAAGGGGGAAAATTTAAAGATGTGCGAGGCAGGTTTTTGACTTGGTCGTAGGTGTCTGGAACGCACTGCTAGGGAAGGTGGTAGAAGTAGATATGATAGCAACGTTTCTCAGGCATTGAGACACGTGATACAGACGTTCTGCAGGCACATGGGATTAGTTTAGAGTGCCGTCATGTTGGTGCAGACATGGTTGAGGCCTGTTCTCTTTGCTGTACTGTTCTGTGTTCAAAATTAGATATTTCGCACTCGTTCCCTTCATTCCATCTGCCCTGTTGTGTCCTTAATAGATTCAAGCATCTTCCATTCCGCTTATTCCGGCTGACTGACACACAGTTCTGCATTTCCGTCTCCTTCCTTTCTGGCAAGAAAGGTTACATTTTGCCACTTTCCAGTCAGCAGTGGCCATTTTAGAATTAACAATTCTGAAAGATAAAAATCAACATCTACACAATCTCTGCAGGTCCCTTTTTTTTTCTCAGAATTTATCAGTTCCAGGTGACTTGTGAATTCCTAGATCCATCAATTTCCCCAGTACTGTCTCTTTCCAGTTGGTCATAAGTTAGTATGGTTTTCTTTCATCAAGGACTGTCTATTTGTGAATTATTTTATGTTGCTGATGCTATTCTACCATCATTTAATCTAATTTCCCAATCTATCTCTGTCAACTGTCCCTGTTCATTACAGCTCTGTAATTACCTTTGTTTAAATTTTAGATCGTAGTTTTGGACTCAACCACATTGCTTTTGCAATAACTACTTCATTTAAGTGTTCTTTTCTTACATTCCAGGAGACTCGTTGAGAAAACTGCACAATCTTTGAATACCTCTGATGTAGAATCCACTGGTGCGGCCAGCACCACAGAAACTACCTCAACTAGTCTGTGTAGACAGTCCAGGTGATCAACTTTATTTTTCTGTAAAAACAACTTCTAATTTTCAATTTTTCACTAACTGGAAGTATTGCAGTCAAATCAAAAGGAAAAGTTTTTAATAATATTTGAGATTAGGGCTTAGTGAACCCGTGAAACTATTTGCTGTCCAGTAGCTGCAATAATACTCAGTATTTCTACTCTACTCCATCGTGTGTGCTGTTGAGGTCCGCGTGGATTGCAATCAATTAAAATCTTTGAACTGTTAAGAAATTGCCCATCATTTTGTACTATTGCTGTTAAATGACTGCAAGTTATGTCATGTTAATCAGGTGAAATTGGTATCATGATTGCAAAGCAAATCATAGCTATTGCTGAAGAATCTCTTCAGCCTTGAAAGCTAATTTCATAATTTTGCAATGACAGCTTTTCCATTCTAACTTCTAAATTAAGTTTACTCGCAGATTTTGGATTCTAATGTTTTCTAACATTTGTTTCACACTCTCTAAAATTTATAGAAAGAATGACCAGTGCATTTTATTTCCTGGCTTGCAGTATTTGAGAACATTTCATGTGATTGACTACTTATTTGCTTGCTGGACTCCTAGAGATCCCAAATACTTGGTACAAAATTCAAATTATTGTAAGGGTAAAATCCGTGCCAAATGATCTCTAGATCGATGTGAGCAACTTTCCTTGCAGTCCATTTGTTGTAAATGCTGTTGTTTTGCTGCTTACAGTGAAGCCTAAACTGATATGATGCCAAAGAAGCTTAACGTCAGTTTTTCATTTGGTTTATTTCAACAATAAGTGGCAGCATTCCTAATCTAGATTTGCAATGTCAACCATTTCTCTCCTTACTTCATAATCTGCTGAATATTTCTTTTCATTTCAGATTTGTATGCCAAAGTTGTGTAGCTTAGAGATATTGCATTTTTAAATAAAAAGTTACACTGTCAAGAAGCAATTGCATTCATGTGAAATTAGAATTAGAACCTGCCTGTCAATTTACAAGAAACTTGAGGTTAAATGTGAAGATCAGGTAGGGATCACATTGAACTTAGTTGTGAGGCACTCACTGGAAAATTAGTGTCTTGCGCATGTGCAGATTAGTTACTTGGGTCATTGATTTTATGATGTCCCTATGTTAGAGTTAGCATCATTAAGACATGGGGAGAATATCATGTGGGATTTAAGTTCAACAAATATAATTTACCTGTTTAAAGTACCTATCTACCCACAAGTTTTATAATGATCAATCCTTCCATGTCTCCCAGTGTATAATGCTTTCTCTATTCTGTTTATTTTTGTAAATGGCAACTAGTTGCATTTGAGAGTACAAAGGATTTGAATTTAATAACTATAGGTTGGTACAGGGTCATCCAAATATCAGAAGCTGTGGCGGGGGGGGGGAACAAATACATGTCAAAACCTGTGAACTGACACTGCAATTGTATAGAAACGAGCCCATGAATGGAAAAAAAAAATCAGCTGGTTATATAAAACAAAAAGCACCCAAACACAATTCCTTTCCATTCCAGTTCCTTGTTCATCTCTAACATGAAAGCTTCAGCTCCTTAAAATGAGCTTGCAGAAGTGGTTCCATCCTAGTTGGTTGTTAAAATCCTGTTAACCTCAGGAATGTGAAAAGCTGAAGTTGATGCTACTAGAGTCAGATTTGCATACATTTTCAAAAATGTAAAGAACAAACAAATTGTCTGAAACTTTGCTAAACAGATCATAAAATTTACAAGGTGAATATTCTGCATTATGTTGATACTTTTTTGGGGGAGAGGGAAGATATGGTTTTTAATTTCATCTTACATTTGTCCTAAGGTCTGGAGACTTGTTTGCATGTGTTTTAATTAGGTTGTTAAACTCTTGATGTGAACATTTCAGTGAGAAGGTGATGGCCTAGTGGTATTATTGCTGGACTGTTAATCCAGAGACTCAGACAACATTTTGAGGATCTGGGATCAAATCCCACTACAGCAGATGGTGGAATTCAAATTCAATTTAAATCTCAAATTAAGAGTTTAATGATAACCATGAATCCATTGCCAATTGTCAGAAAAACCCATCCGGTTCACTAATGCCCTTTAGGGAAGGAAACTGCCATCTTTACCTGGTCTGGCCTACATTTGACTTCAGACCCACAGCAATGTGGTTGACTCTGAACTGCCCTCTGGTCAATTAGGGATGGGCAATAAATGCTGGCCTAGCCAATGATGCCCTCATCCCATGGATGAATAAATTAAAGAAACAACTACTGCTGCCAGCAACAGGCATGTCGTATCTCAGAAACAGTCAGGTAATGTGCACATCTCAGTCAGAGAGAAAGATACATCCTCCCTGAAACAGTCTGGCTGAATGTGACAAAGGAGGAACTTGTCCCTAAAGGGTCCATAATTAATAAGAAAGAAGTCATGTAGATTATTGGCACTTAAGTTGACAAAGCGTCATACCAAATGTGATGCATCCAAGGATTTTGAAGGAAGTTAGGGAAGAAATTGCAGGGTGCTGGCCATGACCCTTTTTAGTCTTCCTTGTACTCGAGTGAGGTAGACTGGAAAATGGCACACATTTCTGCCTTGTTCAAGAAAGGTTGTAAGGATAACTCAGCAGTGGGGAGACTTATTGGAAGACTCAGGCCTAGAGTTAATAATCACATCGGAAAAGATGGGTTGAATAGAAAGAGTCAATGCTGATCACCAGTGTGGCAGTATGGTGACTCAGTGGTTAGCACTGCTGCCTCCCAACACCAGAGTTCTGGGTTCAATTCCAGCCTCAGGTGACTCTGTGGAGTTTGCACATTTTCCCCATGTCTGCTTGGGTTTCTGCCAGGTTTTCATCATCATAGAATCCCTACGGCCTGGAAACAACAGGCCCTTTGGCCCAAAAAGTTCACACTGACCCTTGGAGCATCCCACCCAGACCTAGCCACCTATAACCCACCTAATCTACACCTTCCTGAACACTATGGGCAATTTAGTATAGCCAATCCACCTAGCCTGCACATCTTTGGACTGTGGCACGAAACTGGAGCACCCAGAGGAAACCCACGCAGGCACGGGCAGAATGTGCAGACCCCACACACACTCACCCGCGGGTGGAATCGCACCCGGGTCCCTGGTTCTCCCACAGCCAAAAGATGTGCAGGTTAGGTGGATTGGCCATGCTAAATTGATCATAGTGTCTATAGGTGGATTAGCCATGGTAAATGTTGAGTTACGGGGATAGGGTGGGGATGCTGGGTCTGGGTGAGATGTTCCTTGGAGGGTTGGTGTGAACTTGATGGGCCGAATGGCCCCCTTCTACATTGTAGGGATTCCATAATTTCTCAAGGGAATGTTAAGTAATTGTGTTGCAGTTTTTTGAAGAGGCAACAGGATTAATAAGGGTCAGGTGATTGATGTAGTATACATGGATTTCCAGAAGGTTTAATACAGTGCCACACAACAAACCTTGAAGGTTATTGGTCATAGTACAAAAAGGTGAGTAGCAACATCAAAACAAAATTGGCTGAGTAATTAGAAATAGTAATGGTTAATGTATATTTTTCAGACTGGAGAAAGTTTGCATTGGAGCTCCCCAGGGGTGGTATAGGGACTCTTGCTTTTCCTTTTGTATATTAATGACCTGCATCTTGGTGTGTAAGGGATAATTTCAAAGTTTATAAATAACACTAAACTTGGAAGAATTGTAAACTGAAAAGGACAGAACTTATGAGGACAATGGTAAGTTAATGTTCAATTCAGAGAAATCTGAGGTGATGCACTTTGGTCAGAAGAACACTGAAAGACAATAGTAAATAGGGGCTGCAATTCTAAAGTGGATGCAGGAGCAGAGGGTGATATTCCCACAGATCATTCAAGGTAGTAGGGCAGGTAGCAAGAGCAGTTAAGAAGGCATAGTATTCTTGGCTATATTAAAAGGCATAGAGTACAAGAACAAGGATGTGATGTTGACATTGTACAAAATGCTCAGCTGTGCACTTGTGGGTGCCACATTATAGGAAAGGTGCAAATGCATTTAAGAAAGTGCAGAAGTGATTTACAAGAATGGTTCCAGGAATAAGAAACTTCATTTACGAGGATAGATTGAGGAATTGGGACTGTTCTCATTGGCGTGAAAAAAGCAAAGCAGATTTGAGACAGGGTTTCAAAGTAACAAGCAGGCTGAATAGAGTAGATGGGGAGAAGTTGTACCCCCTCGTAAAGGAAAGAATGAATGAGGAGGCATAGATTTCAAGTGATATGCAAAAAAACAAGCAAGGGCAATGTGTAAGAGAACTTTTTTAAACAGCGGGTGGTTAGGATAAGGAATGCTCTGCTTGGAAATGTGGAGGAGGCAGGTTCAATTGAGGTGTTTGTAGAAATGGTATGCAGAGCTATGGGGAAATTGCAGAAGATTAGCACTAGGTAAAAGAACCAGTGCAGGCATGAGCCAAAAGGCCACCTCCTGCACTGTACCAATTCTGAGATGAAGCCTCAACAGACTTGGGTCAATAAAAGGTCCAGAAACAGAAGCTTAAACGATGAGTTTAAGGAACACTTTAAATAATAAATGAGCTGAGCTAGCTTAAGGGTCTCCAGAAGAGACACTGACTAAAAAGAGTTGATTGCAGAAATCTTCTGAAAATAAGCTGCCTATGGCTGTATGTTTATGCCAAATGAACAAGAAACTTTAAAGTGCAAGCAGGTGGCTATGTACTGAGCTTTGAGTGTAAGTTGTTGAGGGTAAAAGAGTGAATCTTTATACCTGATATTTGTCATAAGACCATTTAAATTATTCAACCTGTCTGTCCCCTCTCCACCTATCTTCTCCTTTTATCCATCTTCTATCTGCCTCCCCCTAATTATTTTAGAATCCCCTTCCCCTCCCCCTCCCCCATTTCTTAAGGGTCTCGGCCCAAAACGTCAGCTTTCCTGCTCCTCTGCTGCTTGGCCTGCTGTGTTCATCCAGCTCTACACCTTGTTAACTCAGATTCTCCAGCATCTGCAGTTCCTACTATCTCTAAATTATTGTATACTGTGACAATTTTTTTCTTTTTTGGAATAAACATTGTTCTCTTGTTCAAAGTGCCATTCTCAGTCTTTTGAGAATATGTTCAGTAATTACCATGGTTTCTTTTTTAAAAAAAACACCTGTGTTCTATCAAGCTAAAATCACTATGGACTATCTGAATTGTTCAGTACAACTGCTACCTGGGATCATAACAGCAAAAATACAACTTCGGTTAGGTTGAAAATTGAATTTAATATTTTAACTTCCATCTTCTTATGCCACAAACAACAAATTTAGAAATTGAATGTGCCGTATTATAAATTAATTTGGTTGGGGCAGTGTGATTATCAAATGTGGTACCTGTACAGTAAAGCTGAATAAAACGTCATTATCTTTGATGTAAGATTATTCTAACAAGTATGACTGGAAATGCGACTTGTCAATGTTACTTTTAAAGCCAAAAATTTATTTTGAAAATTTCAACTCATTTCTCTTTTGATTTAGCCTTTCTGGTCCAAGAAGGAAAACTCGTACTGTTAGATCTTGGCCATTAACATTGCAACGTTTGAAAAAAAGAAGAGGCCATACTCAACCTAGAAATTTTCAGGCTCAGACATCAGAAAGTGGAAATGATAATGATGAAAAAGATAATTGCCAGTATGAAGGACTTGATACAGAAGTCATCAATGATCAGGACATGCACCTGAATCATTTAAAATCATCAATTACTAACTATTTTGGTGCTGCTGGTAGACTTGCCTGTGGCGAAAAGTATCGAATCTTGGCTCGTCGAGTGACTCTGGATGGCAAAGTGCAGTACCTTGTGGAATGGGAAGGAATAACTGCATCTTGATCCCTGTAATAAAGTTTCTTTTAGAAGCTTAGTTTATCTTGTGAACTCTTGAACCTTTGAAGCTGATCTGCAGACAGTCATTACGGTCCTAATGTGTTTCAGCTTCATGCGTATTTCTAAATTTTATTCCTATGCAACTGAACTTTAAACCCTGGGAATGGGTGACTTTGAGTAACTATTGATTAGCCATAAACTTCAATTTTTTCAGGAACCATCTGCAATATTTTACGGTGTCTTTTTCCACTCAGGCTTATCTCTTAAGAATTTTGGTGCTACTGCTTACAACTGTGTACTTAAACAATACCTGCAGGGATTAATTATTCTGTAGGTCAGTCTGTACCAAAATGAAGTTATGTAATTTTTTAATATTGTCAGTAGCTTTGGTAGATGTTCAAATTTTCGTGTTGAATTCACAGGGTGAGGAGTATTGCCTTTTGATGTAGCTGTACTGTACCTGGCAATTTTGTACCTTAATGATTACACTGATACCTCTGGAATTTTTAAAAATGTAACCCAGGATTGTTTTTAAAACTAGCCATTTTTTTGTAATGCTAGTATGAGCAAATGTTAGTTATTGCCATTTGTTTCTAAAGAATTTGAAATGGGCTGGTTTAGCCAAAGAATAAAACTCTCATATTAAGTAATTCAGAAGTGTATAGCTTTTGGTAGCCAAGTTTACGTAGCTTCATTCCACAATCTACACCATTTCCAACTTTGACTTTTTGTATTCTAATGAATCATCATTTATTTCCAGGTGTCTATGGAAACTTCTGTTTTTGCGGACTGTAGGCACTCATATGTGATCGGAGTCACTTGATTCAGTAATGGCATAGGGCAGTTGTTTCTGGGTTCTTGCCCTTAGTTGTCTTGAGGTTGTGGTGGTAGGCCTTCTTGCAATACCAAAGTTCTGATGTTTTAAGCTAATGAGAAAGATGCATCTAGGTCGTGGTAGATGTTTGATGCCACAGCAGCACTAAAATTCATACACATTAAGATATCCTACACTGCGTTCCAGATTTTCAGCCGTCTGTGAGAAACATTTTTCTTCACAGCCCTCTGAACCTCTGCCCCTTACCTTGCAACTAAAACCCTGATCACTTACTCATCATCAAAGGGGAAAAGCTCTTTGCTGCTGTCTATGCCCTTCATAATTGTATACATATCAGTCATGACCTGTCTTCGGTTACAAAGAAAACAACCCTTTTCAATTTCTCCTCATTCCCCTCTGATTCTTCCAGAGTCCTACTGTTCATGTATTCCCTTGCATTGTGTGTAGACAGTGTTGTGCAGATCATATGATGAAAATATCAGATATAGGGTGTTATGTAAATAGAACAGTATAAATGATAGTACTGTACTCAAATGGCTTAATCAGGACAAAAGCAATTCAAAGAAATAATCTGCCTTTGTTTTTCCTCCCAAAGTGAGTAATTTTTACACTTAAATCACTGATATTCCATCTGTCCTGTTTTGTCTGTTCACTTAGCCTAAGTCAGCTTAAAGTAGTCTTGAACCTCCTTTGCAACTTGTTCCCATCAAGTTCAGTGTCATCAAATTTAGAAAAATTATAATTACTCCCCACGTGTGAAGTGTGGCCCAAGCACTGACACTGTAGTACTGTGGGAGGTGGTGGCCCAGTGGTATCGCTGGACTGTTAATCCAGTGACCCAGACAATGTTTTGGCACCCTCGGTTCAAATGCTGCCACGGCAGATGGTGGGAATTTGAATTCAATAAGTATCTGGAATTGAAAGTCTAATGATGACCGTGAATCTATCGTCTGGGAAAAACCCATCTGGTTCACTAATGCCCTTTTAGGGAAGGAAACTGTTATCCTTACCTGGTCTGGCCTGCATGCGTCTCTGGACCCACAGCAATGTGGTTGACTTTGAACTGCTATCTGGGCAATTAGGGATGGGCAATAAATGCTGGCCGAGCCAGTGATTCCCACATCCTGTGAATGAATTTTTTAGAAAAGAAAAACCCCCTTGCTAAGTCTACCATCTTGAGTATCATCTGATTATTCCTACCTTTATTTTTCTCCAACAATTCTTAATCCATTCTAGTACATTTCTTCCTCCCCCCCCAAATCCAACGTGCTATAATTTTTTAAACTTCCTGTGACCAACGTTATCAGAAGCTATCTGAAAATATACAGATACATGGGAATATCACCACATGCAAGTTCCCCTCTAAGCCACTTATCATCCTTACTTGGACATGTATCGCTGTTCCATCCTTGTCATTAGTTCAAAATTCTGGAATTCCCTCTTTAGGGTATTATGGGTCAATCTACAGCATTTGGACTGCGGCGGTTCAAGAAGGCAGCTCACCACCTCCTCAACAGCAACTAGGGACAAGCAATAAATTCTAGCCATCCAGTGATGATGACATCTCCCAAGTGAATTTTTAAAAATCCAAGGATGTGACATCCATCGGTTTCTTTATCCGTAAATCCTCAAAACACCCAAATGGTTTGTCAAACATGGTTTCCCTTTAATCATTCCATGCTGACAATGCCCAATTTTGCAGTTAGCTAAATGTCCAGTCATCATGTTGATAATGGATGTTAACTTCTTCCTTACTACAGTCAAGCTTAAGTCTGTAGTTGTCCACTGTCCTCCTTGTCATGATCCCAGTTGCTGTGGTTACTGGAATAGTTAGATGCCAACAAAGCTGATTTGATAGATCAGTTTATTTTGGTAAGGTAGTCTCTCCCTGAAACACACAAATGCAATGTTGTGGATTTGGGTTTCACAGTGAAACAAGAAGTGATCAAATAGAATAACCATACACATTGAGATTTTGAAATACAATCCCAAAAACTACCTTGTACAGCATCCGAAGCATTCATGCAAGATGAGCGCACCTCTTCCCCATATTCTCAAATTTTATTTCAACTGATGTCAAATCCCAGTCTAGTAAACCTGAGCCTTCACCTGGGTGTTTGTGTAACTGCACTTTAACATTTTCAGTTTCAAATAATCTCTTCAGGGACTTTGAACCATTTCATGACTGCAGCTATTAAACGCTCAGGTAATCTCTTTTCTATATTCACCCTTCCTTGGGAGCACTTTTATACATTCACTTTCATTCAGGCACTTATGTAGAACTGCCCCCATACTGAAATAAAAAAAAAGCTTCAGTTTCAAGCTATTGGTGTTTTCCTAAGCTTAGAAGTCCAGAAATGTCTAAAATTCTGATGTACAACGCTTACCTTGCTTGTCAAGTGTTCCTAATGTAAACCGAACTCTTACATCTGCAAGCTACCTCAAGTTGTAAAATAAGTCCCCATGATTGCAGATAAACCTATAGGACAATGATTCAAAAATCCAAATTATATTAAAATATGCACAAGTAACAATTCACTCCTTCCTCCATCTAAAATGGTAGGTTTACATATGCAACCTCCAGTCAGCAAGTACTTTTTTGGAATCTAGAGTTATGAAATAAATCGAGCGCAACCACGTATTCATAGCCACTTCAACATTTTTTTCACGTCCTATCTTTACCTGTTGCTTCACTTCTGTTTTATGAACTCTGGGGTCAGGTATTATTTCTGGGAGATTTCTATATCTTTTGTAGAGACAGATGCAAAGTATCTGTTTCTCTGACATTTCACTGTTCACAGCTATAACTTCTATCCCCACCAGCGAAAAGGGCCCGTATTTGTGTTAGCAGATCTCTTCCTTTGACACTTTGAGAAAAGCTTCTTCACTACCTTTCTTTCATTTTGTTTCCTTCGCTTGTCAGTTACTTGGTCCTCCTTTCCTGGACCCAAAATTGCTTTCAGTCCTCAATACCATGATTTCTAGCATTCTTAAAACACGTCATTTTATCTAATGCAATCTTCAACTTCTGTTATCCAAGGTTTATTTACCTTGCCCTTGTGTATTTGTGCCTGACAGGAACATTATCTATGTAAGCCTTGTAATTTTAAACAAGATAGTAAAGGGGAGCAAAATTAGGCCAGTCTATAAAGTCTGTTCTGTTGTTCAATTATGGTTACTATGTTTCCCAATCTCATTCTCCTGTCTTAACTCTTCATTGCCCTTGAACAAGAACATATCTATCTTGGGCTTAAGTCCACTCAACATCTTGGCTTCCATAGCCTTCAACAATAATGAGTTTCACAGATTCACCACCCTCTATCTGGGAAAAAAAAATCCTCATCTCAGTTTTGAAAGGTCATTCCTTCACTGAGGTTGTGCCCTCAGGTCCTCGATTCTCCTAGTGCAAGCATTTTGTCCACATCAGTCTACCCAGGACACTCAATGTTCTTTAAGTTTCAATGAACCACTCTCCTCTGCCCCATCTTCTGAGTACAGACCTAGAGTCCTCAACTATTCAGGATCATTCTTAAAAACCCCCTCCAAGGCCAGCACATCCTTATTTAGACTCAGGGCCCAAATCTGCTCTCAATAAACCAATTGTAGAGTGACCAGTGCCTTAAACAGAAGTTGCTGAAAAAACTCAGCAGGTCTGGCAGTATCTGTAGAGAGAAAGTAGAGCTAACGTCTCGGGCCCAGTGACCCTTCTTCAGAACAGATGCTCCCTATTAGCAGCTATTTATTCTCTCAGGCTGACCTTTACCCATTCCTTTGCCTGTACAACTGAGTTTCTCTCTTGTTGAGGTCTATCTCCTGTTTAATCCTTCCCACCTCCATTCACCCATCTTTTGCATAAATACCAACTTTTCCTAGCTACCATCAGTCCTGAAGAAGAGGCCACTGGACTGGAGATGTTAACTCTGCTTTCTCTCCACAGATGCTGCCCCCTCTTGTGTTTTTGTTTCCAATTTCGACATCTGCAATTCTTTCAGTTTTTCGACCAGAGCCTTAGACAATCTCAGCAGAACATCCCTGCTCTTGTATTCTAGCCCTCTTGAAATGAATGCTAACATTGTATTTGCCTAACTGCCAAGAACCTGCATGTTAACTTGAAGAAAATCCTGAACTAGGACTCCCATGTCCTGTTGTGCTTCAGATTTCCAAAGCCTTCTCCTGTTTAGAGAATAGTCCACACCTCTTCTTCCTACCAAAGTGCATTACCTCACACTTTCTATATATTCCATCTGCTATTTCTTTGCCCACTCTCCTAGCCAGTTTAAGTCCTTTTGCAGCCACCCTGCCTTCTCAACACCACCTGTCGTTCTGCCTATTTTTTGTATCATTTGCAAACTTAGCAACAGTGCCCTCAGTTCCTTCATCTAGACTCAATGCATTATGTGAATAGTTATGGTCCAAACACTGATCCCTGTGGAACCCTACTAATCACCAATTCCCATTCTGAGAAAGAGCCACTTATCCCCACTCTCTGGCTGATTGGCAGAAGGCAATCCTTTAATCACACCAGTACCTTGTCCCTAATACCATGAACTTTTATCTTGTTCAGCAGCCTCCTATGCAGCACACATAATGATTGCCTGTCTACAATCAAATCTCTCTGTGCATCTTCTCAATCTACCATTATCAATTTGACTTTCAAATCCTTGTAGTTTCCATTTTCAGGTGCTAATTTCAGAATGAATCACATCATATTCAACCTCCTTGTAAAATTCTATTACTTTATGGTCACTGTTTCCCAAAAGATCCTTCATAGGAAAGCCATTAATTAAAACTGGGAGTTTGGAGAAAGGGGCACTGGACCCAAAACGTTAACTCTGTCTTTTCCTTCACAGATGCTGCCAGACCTGCTGAGCTTTCCAACAACTTTGTTTTTGTTCCTCATTAACAGCATCCGCAGTTCTTTTGGTTTTTATTAGGCCATTAATTAGCCCTTTTTCATTACATAACACCAAATCAAAGTAGAGAAGGGGCACTAGAACCAAAACTTTAATTCTGCTTTCTCTCCACAGGTGCTGCCAGACCTGTTGAGTTTTTCCAGCAATTTCTGGTTTTGGTTCTGAGCTCCAAATAGTATGGTTCTAAAGATGAGAGGCTCCAGAAGGCCAACCACCTTAGGGGTGGCTTGGTTCCATGGAAAAGACAGGAAAGTGGATACCAGCTTGAGCTGTTCTTTCTGAAAGCCAACACGAACAAGAGCTGCTTGGCCAGTTCATTGAGTATATTTAAGACTGAGATAGATAGGTTCTTGATTGTTCTGGGGAGAATGGGGTTGACAAACTTATCAGCCGTGACTGAATGGCCTAATTTCTGTTCCTCTGTCTAATGGTCTATGGCTTCGACATCGAGTTCAATATTGTACGGAAGTTCACATAAAGTCTGAGACCTTTATGAAGGCCGTTGTGATTGACGAGTTTATCATTCTCCTCCAGTCGCTTTAACGGACTATAGTACCAAACTCACCTGTTCTGTGCAGTTCCATAGCCTATTCCCCATTCCCAGCCTTGCCTCTTTGACGGCCGCCCACGCGCCCGCCTGGATTGAACGAAAGCGCGCGAATGTGGACGGCTGGAAGAACACCGCGCTGTCCAATCGGAAAAGCGTGCTGGAAGAGCAAGGGGCACAGTGTTGACCAATGGAAATGGAGAATGTGCGGCAGCCTTCCAATGGAAGGGAGGATGTGTAAGTGCTGTCCAATGGAAAAGGGCGGCAGGTGCACGTTTGTCCAATAGAAAGGCGGAACCCCACGCCGTCCAATGAGCAGGGCGCAGGGGTCGGGTCTAGTGATGTCCAATGGGAGCGGTGGACATCCTGGGCCCCGCGCTGTCCGATTGCAGGCGGAAGCAGCGGTACGGAGTGGGAAGATGGCTGGTGTTTGGTTATGTCCCATCAGTGTTATAATGGCACAGAAATTACACGGGTGTCTTTGAATGGGGTAATTACCGGCTTTATTCTTCATGACTGGTTGTGGTAGTGCTGCAGGTAATGTCGCCAGATTAACGGATTTGTTGTGTTGATTCCGGTTTGACTCAGTTACAAATCGACCCTGGGGTTGTTTAATTTTGGTCAGTACGAACTCGGGGATATTTATATTGATATATTTTATGGATTTAACGTTTTTCAGATTCCCAGATGAATCTATAATTATTTAGACCCGAGTTGTGTTCAGCTAATTTTTGGTGCGGATTCTAAACGTGTTTTATATATATTCATACATTGAACCTATAGCTGTACAGTCAGAAAAGTTCAGGGAATGGTTTAATTGCTAAATTTAAGAAGTAAAAGTCTGAGAGATTATTTGTAAATAGAGGTAGTCATGGTTACTTAGACACAATCATGGTTGAGAATGCTAAAAAACGGTTTACAAGAATAAAACTCCTTAGAAGAAGATTCTCATAAGCTTTCTAGATGTCAGATGACCTCGCGATTAAATCACAGTTGTTTTATCATAATGGTTACCTAATCCTTTCACAAATTCTGAAAAATCACTAATGTCATTAATTAGAAATTTGGCGATGTTTATGTAATGTGTTATTAGTGGTTTGTGTACCCTTTTTTTGTTAAATATTTTATTATAATCCTGGGGAAAATTGTTAGCTTTTCACAAATATTTACCACTATACAAATATTTCACTGAATTTGCTATTCCACGTCTTAAATATCTTCTTCGGGGAAATCTTAAAGATGTTAGGCGTATATCAGTCACAAATGTGAAGTAACAGATGGCTACAGGTCTGGAAAAACATAAACACTTAACTCTATTGCAAAGGATGAGTTTTTATTGATACAGTGCTGAGTATGCTATAATAAAATGATCTGTTCTTTCCTTTTATATTTACAGGAACAGGAGTAGGCCATTCATCCCTTTGAGCCAATTCTGCCATTTAGTTTGATCAATGCTGATTTGTATTGTGATCACATCAACCCCTCCTAATTCCCTCACACTTCATATGTTACCAAACAAAAATTCATCCATCGCATAAACCTCAATAGCTCTTTGATGGACAGAATTCTGGATTACTAATCTTTATTGTGGGGAGGGGAAAAACATTTTCTGACATCAATCCTGAATGGCCTAGCTCTTGTTTTGATAATACATCCCCATGTATAGCACTCGCCTACCAGAGGGAATGTTTTCTTTCTCTTTATCCTATCAATTTCATTGATCATCTTAAACATCTCAATTAGGCACCCTAATCTGCTGAATTTTAGGGAATATAACTCTAGTGAATTGAATCTGCCCTTACTATTTAACTCCTTTAGTTAATTTGCTTATTTTAGAGCATCTTGTGTCATAATATTACCTAACTAAATTTATAATTTCAATCTGTAGAAGATGTACGAAAATTGTTTCAAAACACATGTTAGATTCACTGGCCTAAGAATAATTCCAGCTGCCGCCATAAATTGGCCTGAATAATTGGTTGCTTTTCTTGAAAATATATGTAATATGTAATCATTGTAGAATTCGCCGGAGGAATAAGGAAATTTGATCTGAAGTGAATTATAAGAAATTAAGAGCTTTGTAAATTTATTAAATTTCATTATTCTAGACAATGAAAAATAGTAGAGTCTTGTTACGAAGTTCCATCATTGTGTCATAGAGGGAATGCAGTCACATTCATTTGGTTGTTGGCTGGGTTGTCATGGTTATGGGAGACCACTTCTGTTGTTGGTTTTAAATTGTCAGGAGTACTGTGGGATTCAATGGTAATATTTGTGAAATAGTTTGAAGCACTTTACCACTTTAATAATAGTATTTATTTTTATTTTTATTTTAAATTTTATGTGGATATCAGGTTGGCTCAGATAAGAGAAAAGTCACTAAGTTAGAAGATTGTCTTCAAGCCATACTTCAGGATTTTAGCTCACAATTTAGTTTTACAATACATTGCAGTGCTGAGAGAGAATGTAAAAAATGTTTACTTTTGTGTAGACTGAGGCTCTCCTTGCTTGCTCAGGCAATTGGGTAGAAAAGAGTACTTTGTAGATAGTGAAAAGCTACACGCTGAACCCATGATAACTTGGAGGTCCAGGTCCACAGATAATTTAAAATAAAGCAACTTTGATATTGGTACAATACAAGTCTTGAAATTCTTCCATCAGGTCTTAATCACCATCATACATTATATTTTTGTACCCTAATGGTCCCAACATCAGATCACAGGGATCTGTGAATAGCACATGGAGGTAAGAGGTCATACTTAAACCATGCAAAGCCCTGGGTAAACCACACCTACGGAACTACATGAAATTTTGAACATCACACTTCAGGAAGGATATGATGTACTTAGAGGGATTACTGTATAGTTTCACTAGAATAATTCCTTGATTTCAAATATTGTTAAGAAGAGAGATTGAGAATCTAGGGCTGTATTCCCCAGAATATAGAAATGGTTTATGGTGAGGGTATGTGTGGGGGGTGGTGAAGAAAGATGACTTAATCAAAGTTTTCAATGTGTAATTGGAGCACCCAAGGTAAACAAAGAAAAAATATCCTGTGTGTGAGAAACCTAGGATAAAAAGGCATTGTTTAAAAAAGCACTGTGCAGAGTGCAGTGGACACCAGTACACTGAATACATTTAAGGATGAGATAAACAGACAGATTTTTAATTGGTTGAAGGGTAATGGGGACTGGGCAGGAAAGTGAAGTCGAGGCTGAGATGAGATCAGCCATGGCTGATCCCCATTACATGGCAAAACAGGCTCAAGGGCTGAATCGCCTACTGTTGCTCCAAGTTCTTATATACATAGTCATAGAGTCATACAGCTCAGAAACAGGCCCTTCAGCCCACCATGTCTGTACTGACCATAGAACACTGATTTAAACTAATCTCACTTACTTGCATTTGGTCCGTTGCCTAATATGCCTGTATTTTAAGTGCTAGTCCAGATGCTTCTTAAATGTTGCAAGAGTACCTCCACCTACCAGCCTCTCAGGCAACGTATTCTGTATTTCTACCCATCTAGGTGAAAAGACTTTTCCTCAGATCTCCTAGGGGTGGCACAGTGGCTCAGTAGTTAGCACTGCTGCCTTACAGCGCCAGGGACCCGGGTTCGATTCCAGCCTTGCGCGAATGTCTGTGTGGAGTTTGCACATTCTCCCCATGTCTGCGTGGGTTTTCTCCAAGTGCTCCAGTTTCCTCCCACAGTCCAAAGATGTGCAAGTTAGGTGGATTGGCAATGCTAAATTGCCCACAGTGTCTGGGGTGGGAAATGCAGGGATAGTGTGGGGGTGGGTCTGGATGGGATGCTCCTTGGAGGGCTGGTATGGACTCAATGGACTGAATGGCCTGTTTCCACACTAGGGAATCTATGATTCAATGAAACTGCTTATTTCTCACTTTAAACTTACGCCGTCTGGTCTTAGACACATCTGCCATGGGGAAAGGATTCTCACTGTCTACCCAATGTATGGCTCTCATAATTTTGTAGACCTGAATCAGATCTCCTCTCGGCCTCCTGTGCACCAGGGAAAACAAACACAGCCTAACCAGTCTTTGCTCATAACTGGGACTTTCCTTTCTAGGCAACATCCTGGTGAATCTCCTTCGCACTTTTTCCGGTGAAATCAAATCCTTCCAATAGTATGATGACCAGAAATGCACATGGTATTCCATCTGTGTCCTAATCAATGCTCTATTAAGTTGGAACAAGACTTTCTTGCTGCTGTATTCTGGGGTGGTACTTTGGCTCAGTGGTTCGCACTGCTGGCTCACAGCACCAGGGACCCAAGTTCAATTCTACCCTTGGGTGACTGTCTATCTGGAGTTTGCACGTTCTCCCCATGTCTGCGTAGTTTCCGCCGGGTGGTCCGATTTCCTCCCACAGTCCAAAGATGTGCAGGTTAGGTGGATTGGCCATGCTAAATTGCCCATAGTATCCAGGGATGTGCAGGCTAGTTGGAATGTTCATGCAGGATTTCATGGATATGGTAGGGGAATGGGTCTGGGTGGGATGATCTTCAGATGGTCGGTGTGGACTCGATAGGCCGAATGGCCTGCTTCCATGCTGTAGGGATTCTCTGATTCACCCCGGTTACTGAAGGCAAGCAATTTGTATGTCTTCTTCACCATCTTATCTATCTGTGTTGGCACCGGCATGGATTTATGGACTTGTACACCAAGATCCCTTTGTTCGACAGTATTCCCTAGGGACCCTCCATTCATTGTGAAAATCCTTCCTTTATTGGACTTCCCAAAATGCAGACCCATATGCTTATCAGAATTAGATTTCATTTACCGTTGCTGTACCCAATCTACCAGCTGATCAAAATCAGACTGTGGCCTGAGACCATCCTCCTCACAACCAACAATATGTTCTTACGTAAATAGAACTAGACCTTCCAGCAATAAAACTAAAAAGCATTTCTTTATTAAAGAATGTCAAATTTTGGCTGTAAGCGCTTAATTAGAAAATGTGGTTCTGTACTGTGAGTTTCCATTGAACTTAGTGCCAAAACACGAGATATGGGCGCTGCTCCTGGAGCTTATGTTGCATAATCATCATCAGCGATCCCTTGCAGATGAGGGTGACTCTTTTCCCATTTTCAGAGTGAGTCTCTAGGTGGCTGTACAG